ACAGACAGACATACATACATACAGACATACATACAGACATACAAACAGACATTCAGCTTTATATATAAGATCAAATTCATGTGAAAAGGCCACTTCGACCGAAAACACCTCCCTTGTAAGTAACTTTCTGGAGTTTGCCACAGAAAGGGTTCAAAAGCATTTTTAAATTTTTCAGTGAAGCAAATATTGAACTTTTTTTACTGATTAGAAGATGGATCAGCACAGGACTGGCTGAATTGAGATAAACTAAATACTTTTTCTTCTTCTGATGCATTTTTTCTCCTTTACAGATTCTCAGTTCTCAGGTTTTTGGCTGAAATTTGATATCCTTTCAAGGCATAAAAAATTTAAATTCTCGCTCTTTGCATACTCTGAGGGGTTGTGTGGAGATTCGTACAAAAAAATTCTAGTAATCGCACGCCGTTCCTTACTTGGTGCTAAAAAATGGCAAGTCGTTAAAGGGCGAAAGTCCAATTAATTTGAGAATTTCATAAATTACAAACAATTTTTATTGTTAGAAAGATTTGCTACAAAAAATCACGCCTGCCATTCGAAAACTCCAAAAGATCAACATCCAGACCATTGTTTGATATATGATCAAGATGCAGTGCAAGTCCTTAGGCCTTGATCTTTCCGTATACGATCCAATTTATGACATTGGGTGTGGGATTAGAAACCGAACAGAGAACGTGTTGGAAAAATATTTTATTGCACCATGCAATTTATTAGTAACGTCTGGAGCAAAGAGTGAACTTCCTTGCCTGTTCTAGTGCAATATGTGAATAATTACTAGAATGATCACAAAGCCTCGGTAAACTCAATGAGTGCCTGTACTTTTGCTTGTAATATGTAAAACCTAATGTAAATGGGAAGTAGAGCTAACAAAGCGATTTTGCGTGCAGTAATGAAAAATCTGCAGTTTTCAATGCACCTTATTCAGTAATTTGAGGAACAAAATTACCCTGCATGATGTAATTATAGAAGTACGTACTAGTTGTTGAAAAAGCTGAATAAATATGCTGTAGAATAAAACTAGAAATATAAATGTATCTTGCAAGATATGTCTAACAATGAAGTCTCCGCTTTGGAATTCAAATGGTAAGTTATAATAGTAAATAAAAGATTTTAAGTGGTAGTAACGGATTCTTCGAGCTAGAGTTGAACCGGAGAAAATTCAGTATGCTAACTATGTAGGAGATCAGTATTCATGTAGAATTCAAGATTGTTGCAAGTCGAAATTTTAAACGCTTGTAGACAGTCTCTTTGTAAACATTGCCTTCATTGAAGTTTGAGAACTTCTGCCGGAGTCGGTCTTGCATTTTCCGCTGAAAACATCGCTAACCGCTTACCTACCATATTCCAAGCACGACTGCACCAGTATTCGAGGGTGTAAGACTTTTGGCAATCATTTTGAGAACAATATTCTTTTTCAAATCCTGCAATTCTACTGGGAACTTTGTAGGCTGAACATTTAAGCATACATACCGAATGCAGGGCTCGGCACGAGGTGGCTAGATGAAAATGGAAAAAACGAAGTCCCCCTTGACTTTTGGGAATTTTTACGAAGTCCCCTTTGACCCTCAACCAAATTCCCTCTAAAAACCTGAAAAATTCCCCAAAATCCCCCAAAAAACGAAACGTCGACTAAAAAAAAAAAGGTCGCCGTCGCCAATTTTCCGTGTCTCTTCGGTCACAAAAACGAAACCCCCTCTGCTTTTCGTCCCAAAAACGATATCCAGCTTGCTTGTAAGCCACCTCGTGCCGAGCCCTGACTGAATGTAATGCCATGCAATGTGTTCATTCGGAAGTATCAAACTTGTAGTTTGACTTCAGTCCGCAGCATTCTTGACCTTTTTCTCTTATTGGGTTAGATTAGGAAGTTTACCAGAAGTTTAGTTTATGAGGTTGCTTATCTTTTATTGATGTACTGAAAGCTCACAGCTTCAAGCGCTAAAGCCTCCGACAAGCGCTAACAAGCTCCGGTAGTTTTCTTGGTGATACTGTTCGGAGGTGGACCAGGAACTTCTCAGATGCGACTGTCGCTACGGAAGCCATAAGCGAAGTGTTCTTATGAGAAGCTTGACAAGATTTGTAAAGACTTCATGTTGTAAAATGATGTCAACTTCTCACATTTTGGTGTAAACTTTGTTTATCTCCAAGCGACAAGGGTGGTAGGTGAATGAAAGCAAAAAGTGCTGAAATCGTCAACAGAACTCGGGGTTGTCTGCGAAATCTTGTCAGGGAAGAATTTTGGGCAATGTCATATTTTGTTGTTATTTTTGGACACGATTTTGTTCATAATGTCACATCCGATGATTCGTGAAGTCTAAAATGTTACTCTTCGACATATTTGGTGACCAACAGCAGGAAAAAACCTTGGAAACGCTCGATGTATCAGAGATTACAGCATAAGGGCGTTGACAGTCATTACTCACAGTTAATCATTTATTTTTTGATGAAACCAGATTGGGGGCAAAGGGGGACAGTCAGCAGTCTGAAATAAACATTAATTTTGTATGTATGTACAACTTGTAGAACTAATAATGACTGTTCAAAATTCAACTGCGCGCAATCCGTCAACGAAAAAATCTTACAAAAATGATTGGCCATTGCTGTAAATGTTTCATCCACATTTGCAATACATCTGCTGCATCTCCTTCTGTAGACACTTTTAAAATATTACACGGTAATAGACAGTTCTTCGGACGATGCTTCTTTTTGTAAGCGAAAATGGGTTTTGGTTTGTTAGAACAGATTGACAGCAACTATGACTAGCTATCAATTCATACTGAGTTTGAAGCCTTGCCACAGATTCACTAATATAACCATGACTTTATAAGTTCCCCTTTTTTCAAACCTTGGCATGTTGATAGTATATTTCAAGTATACTATTTTATATTTCAAGTAGTATATTTATTTTATTTTATATATTTATATATAGTTGCGATGAAAGCCTGTTGTGGCATAGAAAAAGCTAAACGATATACTATAACCGTGACTTTTGCACCTATACGGGAAAGACCAACGTCACACAGGTGCAAGTCGCACTTGATACGGTTCGGTGCGTTCCGCACCCAGAACACTTCGAAGATGATGGATTACTCCTCAGATACGATTGCTGCCCGCTTTATACAATCGAACTTCCGAGGGTATCCCTTTCATTGTCTTCTGCCTTTTTATGAGAAATGATCTACCTCCTAAAACTATCCAAAGCGGGTAGATTGTAGGCCATGTGAGACTTGTTGCTTAGGTTAGTCATGCCTTTCCAGACTAGCCTCCGATAGGTGAAGAGCTCCAGAGCTGATGGATAATGTTGAAGTAAGATTGGAGATAAGGGGTGTGTGCCCTTCTGAACCGCTTCGTCCTAGCGCTGATTACTCTGCCTGGGCGGCGCAAATTACTTCGCCTTTCTTATGATCTATGAGTTTTCAAATATTTCTGGGCATTTCGAGGCAAGCGAGGCACACGAATAATGATAGTGACGATGTTTGAATTATGAAGACAGGAAGTTTGAAAAGTTGCTTTTTTACTGGGCTTTCGTGATTTCTGCCATTCCCATCAAAACACCATGAAGTCTGCACGTGTAAGCTAAAGAATTCACCTCAGCCGCCCACGTATAACATTTTTTAGTTTCATGGGAAACTCGAAATCTTGTTTAAATCTTTTCATCATGAGAACGCCTTTGCAGTCCACTTCAGATGTCTCTAATGACAGCATAGCTCTCGCCTACCCAGGCGCCGCGGCAGCGCCGACCAGAGGCGCGCAGTAATTAGGCTGCTAATGCTAGCGGTTCAAAAGGGCCGTCTAAGTACTGTATTGTTTTTGAAACGTTGATGACGGTGTGTATACGCGCGTATGCACGCCCTGACTCTCGTTTAGCACTTTCGTGCTTCAGTTTTATAAGTGTAAACGAAGGTTTCAAAGCAATTTCTATGCGGTAATAATACTGGTGGTCTGATTGTCACACAAACACCGGGCATCGCGGTAGCTGCTCAGGAATTCAACAGCAAATTGGAATAGTTAGTCCATTTTGTGGTCCAAAATGGATCGGTCGTTGTTAATTTGTCGGGGCAGATTATCAAATGTCTTTGCAGACATCTGCGACAAACCACGCAGCCATGCATGTTGGAGACATCAAAAACTTGTACCAGCTGTCGCGCGGTATGGAGTTTATTGGTAAAACATATAGTCTCCTACCCCGGTCGGGGCAAATTTTACCCTCTGTATCACTGGAGGTTGCGGGTGGTGAGTGGGGCTCTGGGCTCTGCACCTCTTTCGCGAATACTTTCTCATCACTTCTCAGATTTGATTAGCGATCGGAGCTCCGCCCTACACCCGCCACTTCCAGTGATACAGATGGTAACCGAGCAGTGATTTATATAGGTTTAATATCTTAACACGGCGCGGTTATCTATGTGTCGATTACTTTCGAATGCAAGGCTAAAAGTAACCCGTAACTTTTTTCGCGTTTTTCGTTTGTTTCTGGCTCTATCAGCTGTATTATGTGGTGGAATCTAAGCATCTAGAATTATAAAATACAAAGAGCCTTGTCATAAAGGGTAAGGTGGATATGTCGGAACGTAAAGGGCCGGGCATACTTCACGCGATTTCAGTCGCGACGCGATTTGGCAACTCGTCAGAAGTCTTCAAATCCAACGCTAGAAAACTGCGCATGTATACTGCGTATAACTTACGAGGATTGATAAAATGCCATATTTTCTGTACATTAAAAATGTGTACAGTGAGTTATGGACAGTTGGAATATTGCCAAGTCGCGCCGCGACTGAAATCGCGTGAAGTATGTCCAGCCCATAAGTCGAATTAATCACCTACTAGTTTTGGCCTTCGTGCTGACACTTGATACGAGATAAGCAGATAGCAAAAATGTATGAGAATGGTCCTTGATGCTGAGGACGACTTTGTAAACAAGAGATGATAAGAGACAGTATTTAAAAGCAGGAGCTTAAAGGTTGTGTCATTTCTATACTCGCATATTCATGATGTTCTGGTCAGCTACCATTGTACTTATCGTACTTCTATATCGAGTTCGTCCGCTCTTGAATACGCAAGACTTCAATATCTTCTTTTTTAAGGAATCCCTTGCACATGGTTTATACAAAGCAAACACAACTACAGGTTAGTAGAGCTTTTGAAAAGTCAGTATAAGACGTATAGTCTGCAATCAGCGCAGTTTTCCGGCAGTATGTAAGAACTTAGGAGACTTCAATGAGCATGGTTAACCTCAATCTTATTCTACGTTTTGATGAGACAAGGAGATAATGAGTCCAAAGTGATGAAAGTACATCGATGTTCACCCTCTTCTGCTCGCCAATCAAAAAACAGTGCCAGTAGGTAAAGAGCTAAGCTATGAGCCGATTTGAAGGAAAAGCTGCGCAATAGCTTTGCGCAGTTCGACATGCATCTTCTCGAGTAGATTGTGTACATTTGCATTTTTGCTCGGTGGCCAGCGGACAGTCTTAAAGCTTCCTTTCCTTGCAACCTCCTTTTAGAATAATCGGTGAGTACGTCAAGCCGAGGTAAATGTACTCAAAAGCTCCTTACTGAACAAGTGCTTCTACGTTCTGGAATGAAACGTGTAATGGATAATGATGATCAGCAGAGACTCATCAGTCGTGACAGAATATTACTTATTGACCGCTACCGACTGTCAGCCACGAGCATGGGTTTGGGAATAAATGTCATCACAAACAGCAAAAACATTCGCAATAGCATGACAGCGATGGTTGGTTGTACAAAGGACTGGGTTCTTACAATTTTCGACAAATGAAATAGAATGTCTGAAGCGTTGGTGTTTCGAAGTCATGTGGCCCACCGTCTACTAGCGTCAGTTCGAAATCTATCGTCCTCTCCGGCTAGAGTAGTTCAGCATTGCAAACATTTGGAAGCTTTGTCAACTTCTCCCCATTATTACGATATCTGTTTCAAACACTTCAGCTATCAGAATAGTTGCACTGCGCTCACATGTTTCAGCTTGCTCTATAGCTGTGAGTGAATCATACAGGCAGCCCAAAGCAACTGTCAATTCACCAAGAAGCCTGTCGAAACTTACTTGAAGGCAGCGTCCGGATATCTTTGAGAGTACTTCAGTTTTAGCGGACTACTGCAGCAGGCTCCCCATCCAAGCCAATTCGAGTTCTCCTTGAATGATTGAACGCAGCGCACTCATTTCAGTCTTCTTACCGAAGGAGAATTTAATGTCGGATCACGCCAATTTGTAACGCTGTCGTTGGCTGCATCAGCTTCTGCACGCTTTCCTGCTTCGATACGATACTGAATCGACGGGTGGCCATGTTCAAACTTGGTAGAAAGGAGAACCGAACCTCGAGTCATTTGTAACTTAATATGTGAGATTGCACACTAAGCCCTATTAGTGACGGCATCATTACTAGTAACTTTCTTGTGCAACATTTTCTAGCATAACAAAGTGTGGAAATGTGTTCTATCAACCAACATTTAACCAACAAGAACAAAAGAGACAAGGGAACAAGGAGAAATCACTGAAAATAAGCAGGTTCTAGTTTTGTAAACCGTCAGTTAACGTGTATGGTGTTCACTACGCATATCAAGTTAGGAATGACTTGACGTTAATTTGCTGAAGTGAAACGAAAAGATTTAACCTTAGCAAAGCCACCTCCATTTCAACCATTGCTTCTGGCTTTCCGGCTCCGTCCAAAATTGACGAATCATTGTAAAGGTAATTATCCAATTTTATATGCAAAGTACAGCAGAGAATCTCATGCCACCATTAGGAAGATGCAAATATGCTGCAAGCTGCTTCGTTTTAGGGCAACCGAACGCACCCTTGGGAGGGGATTGCGACGACCGAGTAGAATTAAAATGTACACGTTCAATTAGAGAAGCACTTGTAGTGTTCATCGAATGAAACGGTTGAGATAGGGAGAAGAGAGGTAAAGAGCAGGGCATACCTCACGCGATTTCAGTCGCGACGCGATTTGGCAATTCGTCAGAAGTCTTCAGATATAGCAAACTGCACAAGTATAGTGTGTACAACTTATGTAGATTGAGGAAAGGTCCTATCTTCTGTACATTCAATAAGTGCTTACGATAATTATGGACGGTTGAAATATTGCCAAATCGCGCCGCGACTAAAATCCTGTGAAGTATGCTCGGCCCTCAAGGGAAAAAGAGCCAAAATGCCAGTAACGGAGAAATTCGCTACTTTTGTGACTGCACGATACGCAGAGGCTCGCAGCTCCTCTCTCGCCATCCAAAATAAGGCATAGCCTGATAAACGCGCAGGACTCAGAAGCACGAACGTGACTTCTTTACCCATAGGGCTAATGTGGGAGATTTACACTAGCCCTTAGTTCATTTTTTCGCCTTAAAAATTCTCATAACTTTGACTCATAACCAAAATTTGCAAATAAGGAAAGCAAATTTGGAGTCAGCGTTTCAAGCTCAAATCAGTAGTATGCACTTGTGGTGATCGGCCACTTTGACTTCGTCTCCCTTGTTAGAGTGAAATGAATAGATTTGATAGAAACATTTATTCTGCTGCAGTTCAAATATGAATTAGATAGAGAATTGACACCCAACGTTCTCACTTGTCCGAATGTGTAACAAGTACTTTACTATGTTCATATGGTTGAATGTTATGTATAGTCATGCCTATAATGCTCTGCTTGCTTTAACGTTTTTAGTCGGGAAGAAGCTAATTTTAGAGAAAATTTTGTTGAAAGACGTATCGACAAATAAACACATCGCTGCATTAGATGAGAAATTACTAAAAGCATAGACAAACGGAAGAGAGATATAATTGGCACAAAGGAAACACGTACAAGAAGGAAGAAGATTGTTGTTGAAACATTCAGAAGAAACATTCAATCTCATGAATGTTTCTTCTGAATTGTCCAGCACTGGAAGTACCACACAGAATAATAGTACTGTAAGAACCAAAAATATGAATCAGAAAGCAAAAGAGACAAACAAATTTATGGAGAAGCGTAAAACTATTATGTCAACGGTAGTTACAGCAGATCTTGCACCAATAAGACAGAAAAGAGAAGAGATTTCGCAAGAACCGGAACCTTTCGAAGTGGTAAGTGATGATGATTTATCTAATTAAATTATAATGCTGATTGAGCGAAGCTCAGGAGGCTTTGAAGAGCACAAAAGAACCAAAAAAGGAGGAACCTACAATGCAGCATGTTGCTGGAGTGAATCCAGTCGAAGTGGTTGATAATCCAGTTTTCCAAGGAACAACCACCCAAGAACCTGGGACCCTTGAAGTAGGAGGAAGTTTCCCAATATTTTATGACCCGAACAATAACGGTGAGGAGAAAACATTAAGACGGAGGAGGAAGCTGAACCAGTTGCAGAAGAAGAAGAAGAAGAAGAAGCGACAGATAGTTATTACGACATTAATCCTAAATTTGTCGGAAGATTCATGCGACCACAAAACAGTCCAAGTACTACGACTTTGCCAACAACTTCGATAGCTGTAACGACAATATGTAAGCTGCGTTTTCGTGGAAAACGACTAGGGTAAAAATGTTTATGTACATGCAACACTTACAGTACACGAAGCAACTTCCACCAAAGTATCGACAACTTCCATCACGAGCAAGTAAGCTTCACTCACATTTAAATCGTCACTGCATGATTTAAGGTATAACATAGGTGTATTAAGAATTTTACTAATCAATATTGGGTAAAGTTGGATTTTCTGCATCATATTCAGTACTCAAGATATCAAAACTCGTTTGAAATAGTAGAAGATAAACTAGTTTCTGATTGGTCTTTGATGAAAATATGCATTGTAATAGGTATACTCAAAAAATGTAAGGATACTTTCAAGCTTAGAAACATAAAGGGCAATATCAGCACACTCACAAAGTACAAAATAGAATCGCTTTTTTGATGGCACGACGACCACCACCAACCTCAATCCCACTATCACTATATCACACATTTCCGTCTTTTGTTGAAACGGCAGCAGACTTGCCTTTCAGAGCAACATCAACCTTAACTTCTAGCAAGGAATCAACTACCTCAGCAGTCATTAGTACTACGACAGGTGTTTCTACGAGTAAGCTCATTGGTGGTACTGTAGGGTACGACTGGGTGTAAAAACTACATTATAGAGACTTCCGTATCCGATACATCAACTGCATCAAGCAAGTGAGTTTTGCTTCCCACTATCAGAATATCACGCACTTCACTTTTTTGAAACGGCAGCAGAGTTGCGTTTCAGAGCAACAACAACGTTAGCTTCTAGCAAGCAATCAACTACCTCAGGATTATCAGTCATTAGTACTACGACAGGTGCTTCTACGAGTAAGCTGATTGGTGGTATTGTAGGGTACGACTGGGTGTAAAAACTACATTATAGAGACTTCCATATCTGTTATATCAACTGCATCAAGCAAGTGAGTTTTGCTTCCATTCACAGCTATTTTCCAAGAGAGCATGCAAGTGCACTGCGGTTACAGGCTATAATTATAAGCGTTCGTTCTCAGTCGAAGATCACTCTGAAAAGACTTTAGCTTACCTTTAACTTTATTACATTTCTATTGAAAAATATGCATGAGATGATGCTTAAGATAGTAACAACGCAATATAGGATGTGGAGATATAGGATTTGCACTTTCAGATTTGCAGTAGCAAAGGTATTGTTGATGTACATGCTATATATCCTATAATTTCAGCGCAATAACAACAAGCTCCTCTATAGATAGCAGCCCCAAATCCTCAGAATCGTCAACTAAAATCACAGGTGTTTCTGAGAGTAAGCTGTCATTGGTGGTTCTGTAGGGTACAACTGGGTGTAAAAACTACATTGTAGGTACTATATCCGGTGAATTAAATACTCTACCAGAGTGAGTTTTGCTTCCAGATAACTTCCACAGCTATCTTCTAAGAGAGCATAGAAATGCATTGGCAATAGAGACTATAATTATAGGCGTTTGCGCTCTGTAGAAAATGTGTCTGAAAAGGCTTAATCATATAAAGACTCAACTTTTCTTGCAGTCAAGCAATTTCTTGTACTGGTAGTAGGAATATAGGATTTGCACTTTCAATTTTGCAGCGGCAAAGGTATTGTTGATGTATATGCTATTTTATTGTTTTAGCGCTACCTTACCCACTGGAGATACATCGATAACCATTACTCCAATGTTTAACAGTAAGTCGTGCTCTTTGTGCTTTGCAACTTTTTGAAAAGGAATTTTACAAAAACTGGCCATCTTATGCACAGATGTCAATGTAGATCTTCTTGCGTAGGTGGATGTTTGCTTGTGTAATCAAAATGTTTTTTTGCCGTAAAAATAACTGTTGTGAAAAAGCTCATGCACAATGATTTTTCGATTTTTATATTTCCCTGTACGTCGAGCACGCAGTTGCACATTAACCTAGACAAAGACGAGATTTAGAATGAGCCTTTAAATAGTTTCTTTTGTCACTTACCGTCCCTAATTTCACGTGTATACAGGACGCGCCTATTTTGAACTCGACCAGCCTAAACACTTCAAGAAATTATGCGACCAAAAGACCCTCTATCGTGTGCTCTTTACTGAAGTTGTGTGAAAAAGCAAATTTGCGAGGCACAGTGGTGCGGCCGAGTTGCTTGTTCAGAGAAATGAAAAAGGTGTGCCTATTTCGTAAATTAGGGTGCCTTTTCTTCTTGAGCTAGACTGCGTTCGAAGAGGAGCACATGGTAACACTTCATGCACTTCCCAACTGAAACTTGTGCTTCACCAGTGCTTTGCAAAATGTGCCATTGCACAAATTGAGAAGTAGCCGTACTCGACTGTAGTTACCAAGCGCACTTGAAAATTTGCTACCGTGTTATGGGCTTGAGATCAGGGCTCGGCACGAGCTGGCACCAGAAAATTTTCAAAACAAAGTCCCCCTTGATTTTCGCTAAGTTTTACGAGGCCACCCTTGACCCTAAACCCTAAACCCAAAAGATCCAAAAAAAAACGAAACGTTGACTAAAAAACGTCAAAATTTGTCGACAAAAAAAGATATCCCCTTTCCTTTTTGTCCTAAAAACGATATCCAGCTTGCTCCGTGCCAGCTGGGCCAGGCCCTGCTGGGGTCATAAATGCCATAACAGCCTAAAAAATGATTTTTTTTGTATATTTGGTGTTATCGGCATGTGTTTGGAAATGAAATGTCAGTAAAAAGAAATTTTTTTCTCAGTAATTCATCTTTGGGAGAGTTCATTGTGAGCAGTGAGATTGTAGTATGCGGATAGCCTGGCCTTAGGCTCTAAGTTGCAGAGTATTAAAGAAAAACATTCTGATCAGCAATTGCCTCCCAGTCCTTTCCCTAGAAAAGAGGATCCGTATGAACATATTGAAAAGACGTTCAGCTCTCGGATGACAAACTTAATATCGTGTATTTTGAGCTCTGCGGCTAGTGTTTGAGCAAAGCTACATAGTTTAACAGCTGAAATTGTCTTGAGAAATCCAAGCAATGCTACCTCTTCAATCATTTTTCTATTATAAGCTCATATCCACTTTAATCCGCCCAAACTCCAACATGCGCCGCCGCATATGTAAATTTCCATACTCGTCAGCGATTATTGTTTCTATATTGCGAAATGGCTGTTTTGTATGAAATGTAGGTAAGACTTCATATCGTACTCTAATTTACTATCTTACAGCAAGCTCCACGGCCAATAGGACAGGAAGTAGGTAAGAAATCACACATTATTCGTAACGTCTAAAGTCAAACCCAATACTACGCTTTGTATATGTACAGAAAAAAACATTCAAAAGGATAGGTAGCTGATCAAACTCTCTTTCTGCGCATCAGGAAAAAAGAACACTTATTTAGATTTTCTTTTGATCAGATGAGCTCATCAAAGATCCCACAGATCTGTTTTACGGTTTCTTCCAAAAATGTGACTCGATTGACTTGAAAACTTCTGCGATGCAAAATTTCAAAAATCTAATTCGCCTTCTCTCGAGTTCGTGATATTGGGTGGAATAAACACATGCAGTGCTTTTAGGAAGGGGCAGACGGACTTGTGAGACAGCAAACTTGAATGATTTTTGGACGGTCGATAAGCATTGGGGTGCAATTCAAACTGGGTCCATTATCAACTTGCTGGAAAGTTTCCCAACGCAACATGCAGAACAATGTTGAGCAAAATTTTACACCTAAAATGGAACAGAACACAACCGTTTTTCGTATTTCTAATAGGTCATTCCAACAGTAATTACAATTTTTTGAACAAGGGTCACCCTGGTAGCACTACGTAGTTTTTCACGGTTTCCGAATACAACAAATGAGGCCTCAGAAAAGTACCAAAATTTACAGCTCACAGTTTTTGCTGTGATCGAGTTTCGCATTGTTTCAAAATTCACAAACTGACCCACCAGAGAAGTCAAAGTAACAGAAGCGGGTTGCGATAGAGCACCTACAAGCTACAGAACGATATTTCTCCGCATAGCTTTCTTTTTGACATTTTTTTGTCATTTTTTGATACCATCATATTCATAAGTGGCTAACTCAAACATCAAACGGCGAGCAACTCGGGTGTCATTCGAAACAGCTTTTTATTCTTTTTGAAAAAGTTTTTTGTTTTCGATTCGTTACTCTTTGGAGATAAGATTATCAGCATGTTTTCGAGCGGTAGGCTGTAACCGGAAAGATTTAGATTTGATATTTTGAGTTCGAGATCGCTCATTTGCTATGTAGATTTAGAGTCATAGTCAGGTCTTGGCAGTTTGGAAATCCGAAGATTTATTGGTGTTTGACGCGTTTGCGGGTAGGATAGACTCGCTAAAACTTAGTAGTTTCAATGAAAAAATCTGTCAAAAATTTCTTGTGAGCTACAGAGGAGCGAAAATTGTTTTTGTATCCCATAAAGTTTGCTCAATTTACCAGTCACTCCGACTGCTTATGCAAATCCATAAGAACTTTTCAAAAATAGCAAAAATAGATCATGGCACTGACTTGCAGTTTTTGGTCATTCTCTTAAAACTCGATTGTTATACGAAAAGCACTGAATGCGCTCAAAATCCTAAAGAATCTTTGCTTTGTGAGATGGTACGCTCGTTTGTAAAAAGCGATAGGAACGACCTAATACATCGGATTGACGATATTTGAAGTTGAACTTATGTTCGAGTTATTACTATGCCATTTTCTTTGACTACCTCGTTTCAGTTCAACGAAACCAATGCAAGGTCAGCTGGGCGCAACTCAACCCTCTAGCTCGTCAAAACCTGAGTAAGTTCTCGTCATTCCGTTGTTTGAATAGTGGCTTTGATTTATGATCAGAATTGCTATCTCGCAATACATCAGAAGCAGAATTACATCACAAGTTAAAAGCATGCATAAAACCTGTCATATTAGAACAATTTCCTATCGATCATCTTCGATTTTTACACTCTTTTGTCGCTGAAGCTTAAATAACGCTTCACTCTCATTACTGATGTGTGCAAGAGAAGAGTCACACCTAAGATTATCCACAACTCTTGGTCATCGTTCTGGGTTTCCCTGGACGAGCTAGGTCCAAAATCGTGCTTTGCAGCTTCAAGGGGTTTCAGTAACCCGCTTTTCCAGGCGTGAAAAGTGCTGTTTGGGCGGACGGCGTGTGCCTACCCTCTAAAGCGCGATTGGCTCGTGAGTGGAGACACCGTACCCATCGCGGCGACAATTGGATTATTGGCTCCAACAGCCACACTTTCGCAACCCGCCCAAGCAGCAGTCTTCACGTCTGGAAAAGCGAGTTATTGATATGTTTTGAAGTTGCAAAGCACAGTATTAGACTTAGCTCATCCAGGGGAACAGAAAACTATGAATCTAAGTTGCCATTCTGCCGAGCCGCTGCCTTTAAGTAGCTATTCTCTAATCTTCTTCAATGCTATGTCCAGTATATTGCGCAATATCTTTTCGAAATTTGAAGAGCAGAAAACATAGAGAAATGGTTTGAAATGAGCACGAAGCCAAGGCTGCGACGGACGTCTGTGAGCTATTATTCGCAACATATTATATAATAATAGATAAATAGGTTGCATATAACGGTTGATCGTACTGTACTCTTCCATCATCTATATATATATATAAAACTCAAAAATTGTCAGTTTTGAGGGTATGTGCGTTATAGAAACGCGCGCCGCTCAACCGATTAAGCTGAAACTTTACACACATATGTTTTCGAGCCTTGCGCAGATGATAGGCTACTTTTTGCAGCGATTCGTTGGGTCCTTCTATCGATTTATTGATTTGCAGCACTTTGCAATAAAAATGATTCTTATCATTTGCTATCAAAACAGGGGTATGTAAACAAGGCTGGCATGTCTCATTGTGAACTTCTATTGACGAAGTGCAGTGAAAAGTGTTCTTGATGTGAGTCTCAATTGCTCATTCAAATGGATGCACTAAATGTATCTTATGCGGAAACCTTAGCGTGCAAGAGACCATGAGTGCTTTGTAGCGAGTGTTTTGTACGGAAGCGTGCTCAATTTACGCTTATAATCAATGCTTTCTTCGTTACATGCTCAATTTAAACAATGAGGGGTCAAAATTTTTCATGAGATTGCGCACAAATTATTTGTCAATACCAGAAATAATGTCAAGACAAGCGACAACTCACATTCGCTATAGTTGATCCCTGGGACTAGGAAAGTGCGCGAGTGCAAATATCGCTGTTACGATCTGCAAATTATATTTTGTCTGAAAGAATTTATTGTAGTGTCTGGACCAAATGGCAACAACCGCGCAGAAGCCGTCGCCGAGACAAAACACAAGAAAGAAAGCGCTATAAAAACACCTCGCTCAATCGCACGCACGCCGCCGTTTTTACCTTTGTTTGATTTCATTTTATACATTTCTTAAAAGACCATGACATCGGTTTAATTACCCAAGTTTGAGGTAACGACCAATAAACGTTGTACACCTGTGTCGTGTCAAGCCAGTCAAGTCCGTATATGGTGCATCGGCCGCACACTTACTGATCAAAGAATCAAAGGACCCAAGGACGTTCCGGTACGCTTTCACGCACGACAAAAAATTGTAGAGCCTTTTTTGCATAATGACAGGCCCTACCTCTTTGAAATCCCAGAAAGCGCTACTTACGCGTTACACTAATAATCTTGAACGCATTCTAAATGAAAATGAAAATATTTTGAACATTGAAGGCGACTCTTTCGCTGATTCATCTACTTCGCAACGCACTCAATGTTTGGTATTGCGAATCAACACAACCGCAAAATTACTTCTTGAGACTTTGAACTCTTTTACTGCCACAGTTGATTCTCTAGAAGATAGGTTATCTGAGGAACAAGAAACTCAGCAGATGAAAATAACATACAGATATTCAGATTCACTCGCGTAACGTTTGGATTGAATGTTTCCCCCTTTCTGTTATACGGAACAATTCGTTATCATTTGGAAAAGGTCAATAACAAGGAGCTAGCCAATGAGATAAAAGATAACATCTACGTTGACAATCTCATACTTGCAGCTGATTCAGCTGAAGAAAGTGTCAACAAAGCACAAGATTCAAGAGAAATCTTTGAGGAAATGGGCATGAACCTGCGACAATTCCTTTCCAACAACACAACATTACACCTAAGCTTACCACAAAACGCACGCGCTACCTCAAAAATTCAAAAAGTATTAGGCATCGAATGGAATGCAGAAACGGACTACATCAGCATGCGCTGTAATCTCTGCAAGTTAGAAAATCCTACGAAAAGAGTAATCGCGCGGCAAATAGCATCAGTATATGATCCACTAGGTTGGATGGTGCCACTCATGATCCGACCAAAAGTATTCCAACAAGAACTATGGAGGCAAAATTTCGATTGGGATTCAGCATTGCCGTCAGACTATAAAGAAACATGGAACAGAATGGTCGAAAATATAGACGGCTTTCAAAAGTCTACTCCACGACGCTTTTTTGATGACGGCAAAACAATGAACTTGGCAATTTTCGCAGATGCAAGTACAAATGCAATCGCAACATGCGCCTATGTTTACAAAGAAAAATCGTCAACTTTAGTCATGGCAAAAAGCAAACTTCCGTCAATCAAATCCAAAACAACTATGCCTAAGCTAGAAATGAACGCACTTACACTAGCTGTACGCCTTGCCAGATCCATCACAAATGCTTTGAAATCAAGAATCTCCAACTATCCATGGACTATTCACATCTTTTCCGACTCTCAAATTGTGCTCAGTTGGCTCTCATGTCATCCAAAATATACCAACGCCGGAGTATTAGTAACAAATAGACTACGAGAAATACGTGATATAGTTGAAAGCATGAAAGACGAATCAGTAACAGTAACATTCAACTATATCAACTCAGATCAAAACCCCGCAGACGCAGGAACGAGAGGTTTAACGAAGGATCACTTTCTCTCTCACATATGGTGGGAAGGACCTGAATTTTTGAAAACACCGATAGAAAGTTGGAACATAAAATCCTATCCTCTAAGCAATTACACTCTCGAGAAAATCGAACTCTCTGGCACGATTCAAATGAACAATTTGGTCACGGAAGAAAGACCAAAGGAGATTATTGATTTGGACCGCTTCAGCACATTCTCTTCAGGGAAGAGGATTATGGTTTTATGCCTGCGGTTTTTAAAGAAATTGTTACGACCAATCAATGAAATCAGAAAAGCAAGCATATTCGAACGTGTTCCTGAATTTTCAAAGATATCCACGAACATGGGCGCTATTGAAGGAAAGGAGATGCTAGCCGCAAGGTTTGCACTCATACGCAACCATCAGTTAACTCATCTGACAAAGGAATACAGACGATCGATGGACAATACTCTACGATTGTACTACGATAGCCAAAAGATATGGCGATCTAAAGGAAGGATTAGCAACAGCACCTTGGGAGATGACGCCAAAAATCCAATTTTCATCACGCCAAATACTCGACTTGCTACAGCTATCATCAAAGAATCCCATGAAAACTATCATAAAGGAATTGAGCACACTATAGCAAGCATTCGACAGTTATACTGGATTCCAAAAATACGACAGCAAGTACGCACGATAGTCAGCCACTGCTTCCAATGTAAAATCTTCAACGGTCTACCCTATCATTATCCTGATACAACAGACCTACCGCAACGACGAGTGATAAGATGTCACCCTTTTCAACACATCGGACTAGATTTCTTTGACCTTCCATCTTGCAAAGAGAAGGAAGAGTCGATAAAACTATACGGATGCATATTCACATGCACCAGCACACGGATGATTCATCTGGAGCTTGTACGCAACATGACAACATCCGACTTTCTGAACGCATTACGACGCTTCATAGGACGAAGGGGAATACCAGAAACAATAACTTGCGATAACGCACCCACTTTTTTACAGTGCGAAAATATCTTGACGAATAAGGATTCGCAAAACACAGATCTCATTCGCATGTTAGCAAACAAAGAAATTCAATGGAAACACATCACCCCATACGCGCCATGGCAAGGAAGCTTCTACGAACGTTTAATCAAATCTATCAAACACGCGTTATACAAAACACTTCGTAACACAGGGGATCATTCCTTTGATGAGATGCAAACACTCATTGTTGAAGTAGAAGCCTGTTTGAATTCTAGACCACTTACCTATCAAGGATCTACACATGAGGAACTATCATCCATCCGTCCAATTGATTTTGTGCAACGTGATATATCACTTACACTCACACTGGATAATGAGCTGGTAGAAGAAATAGATGATCCAGACTTCATACCTCCAAACGAGCAACGTATGCTAAGAAATCGACAACAGGTAATTGACGCACTCAAATCGTCGTACCAACAAACAGAACGTTTCTGGCACGTTTGGCAGCAACAATACCTCACCTCGTTACGTGAAACACATAAAAAGTACACATCCAGACAACGATCAGGACAAGAAATCCCTTCAATTGGAGACATTGTTTTAGTTTGCGAACCAATACTACCACGCAACGAATGGAGAATGGCTCGGATAACCAACGTACAACCCGGTGCTGATGGAAAAATCCGAGAAGCAGAACTCATTACAACCACAAAACGAAAAATTCGACGACCTGTGAATCTCCTCATCCCACTGGAAATACAGGACAAAGAAAAAGATGAAACGAAAAAACAACATGATGAGAACCAAACAAAAACAAACGAGAACGCACGCCAACAAAGATACGCGCTAAGACCACGACCAACAACGCGTAATGTACAAAACAACATATGCAAAGAAAACCAATCAAAACGATCATATCAACCTAAATGGTTCCTCTTCTACATAATGAGCCTTTTACCAATCTGCATGGTGAAATGCAACCATCATCAAGTTCACAACCATCATCAAGACCCAAGCATCAAATGCACCAAGAATGGAATACTCGTAAATAAATCAGATGCAGGGGACTACGAAGTTTGCGCAGAAAATTTCTGCAAAACTTATCAAACTTCTACAAATCCTCAAAAAATTAAACTACCCCCGGAAATAACTTTACATGACTATGATATCATGGTGAAATGGAACACGAAAGGAGGCACCTTAACCATAGAAAAAACATGCACAAAACTCGATTTCTGTGAAACTCTAGAATGTTGGTTCTGCTCCTCTATCCTTTTTAATCCGGAATGTTGGCCGGTAGGCGCAATGATAATATTTGCGCTTCTTCTCTACGGACTGACTGCGCTCATATACCTCACCTATCATTTGATAAGAATAATTTTCAAACCTCTATATCTGTTTGTCCAGGGGATACGCCTCTTTCTATCCTTAACAGTTCGAATACTAGAGTGCGCCATGAACAGTGCCCTGCCAAAACTTGGTCAAAAACCTAAGATCACGAAAGACCGTATTTCTGCAGCGCTCGCAATAGTAACTCTACTTGGAATCAACATAAGCTACGTTTATGCATGCCAACATGTCAACATCCTAGAATACCGCTCTACTATCTGTACATTCAATGATGAAAAAGAAACATGCTCTGTGACTCTCTCAGAGATATTAAAAATTAACACTCTCAAACAAGAAGCCTGTTTGCGCCTAACACGAAACTCCACTTCAATTGTTAATATCAAAATAAAGTGGAAAGGGTTATATCTGCACTGTGACCGCGAAAGATTGTACACCACTCGCACGGTTCAATTGAAAGTTCACGATAGCAAACGTTGCGCACACATGGGATCTTGCATAGGGGAAAAATGTGGTCAAATCAATAGCTCAAGCCTAATTCCAGAACTACATCAAGCAAATCAGTATCCAGGAAGAACAGGCTGCTTTGAATCTTGTGGTGGACCAGGGTGCGATTGCTTTTATTTGAGTTCCGGTTGTCTATTCTACAGGATATACGCAGTACCAAAACATTCAAAGGTATATGAACTGTTTCGATGCATGCGATGGACAGAAGAAATCAATCTCGAAATCATCATCGAAAACATCATTTCGAATACCCACATACGATACGTCGTTCCCGTCTCTCCGAACGTACCGGTATACACTCCACCCATACAAATTACTATGACCTCTGTTACACTGCCACCAACACCTTCACTTGCAGCAATGTTCATAACAGATGGTATAGACACAGCTATTTGGGACGACATTGCAAAACCTCCACTTTACTGTCAAACTCGATCAGAAGCTAGGAATCTCAATTGCACTCTCCAGGATAACTGTAGATGCGCTCCGGCGGAATCAACTGTCAATTGCGAATGCGAAGAAATAGACATCGACGATAAGTTCCAGCAAATTGACAAAAAACTACCTGTAAGAACGGCATCATGGGAACTCAGACAGGCCAAAAATTCAGTATATGCTAAAATTCCTCATATGGTCACTGCCGAATTCATCATCGAATTGAACAACACTTACGACATGGCTATACTAGAAGTTACAAATCGTGAATGCTTTGTAGAAAGTACTTCAACCCTCGAAGGGTGTTACAGCTGTCGCAAAGGAGCCGTAGCCAAAATACAGTGTTACTCAAGAAAGAAAATTCTCGGAGAGGTTTTTTGCGCGAACAACGCTTTTGTAATACCATGCGGACCACAAAGACAAGAATCAACGCTAGAATTCCATTTTGAAACCGCGAAACAAAAGATAGATTGCAAAGTTTCTTGTGGAAAATCAGAAAGTAGCTTTACATTGATGGGAACTTTGAAATACATTAATACCTATCAAGATCCTCTCTTAAGTACCTTAGAAAAACAGAGTTCAGTCTTCAATGAAATCACACTACCTGATCTATCACACATTAAAGATGTCTTTCTCAGCTACTACAAAACTCTAATTACAATACTATCCATAACTGCGCTCGCACTTTTGCTTTCATATATATTTTTGAACACATTCGGCTGGTACTTCGTTCGTAAACTTTTACGACTAATATGGACCTTGTGCCGCCTTCCAATACGCGCTATTTTTGCATTACATCATGCACTCAAAAACCAAAGCTCTCAAGTGGCATGAAAAAAAAAAAATACAAAAAAAAAATTTTTTTTCACATCAAATAAATCACAAAATTTTCTTTCAGAAAATGGAAAAGCCTACGCAACGCCACGCACGAACCTCCTCACTCTCGCTCGACCCCATTCGACTTACGCAACTGAGAAAAATCATCAGTTTCCTCGAAGAAATAAAACAGGAAATCAAAAATCTACAACAATCAGTCGATTCCGTACTCGAAGAAACCAAACAGTTATCGCAAGATCAGAAAGACGCGCATTCCAACGACGACCAGAGGACGAGTCATGATGATTCAGACGACACCAACACAGAAGGCAAAAAGGAACAGGCTGCCATACTAAAAAACATCGATTTCATGGAAAGCCTGGAAAAGGAACGAGAAGAAATGGACACCGATGCTGACCACGAAGCTCAACAGAAAGAAATGAGAAAAATACAAATCCTGCAAGAAATCGAACAGCTACGACAAGGAAGAAACAATTTTAACCAAATCATAGATGAACTCAAACATCAACGTTTTTGCCCTCCAAGAAATTTCGATGAAGGGCCCATCACCTTTGAAGCAGATAGAGCCACACGTTGCGCATTTTGCGAACTACGCGGCGAACACTATTCAGACAAATGTCCATCGTTTCGTGATATACAAGAACGCTGGAGAATCTTGGAACAAAAAGGAAGATGTCAACTTTGTTTAGAATTATATTGCGTCGGAGGTAATCTTTGCAGAAAATTTGGCACTAAATGTTATCATTGCAGAAGTCAGAACCACCACTCCGCTTTATGCGATCTTCCAGAGAAAAGCGAACCTATATGGCAACAACTCGCTAATGCTCGCGATGGACTCACACAATGCTCAGCAAAAATCCAACAACTGGAAAAAGAATTATCCATTATTGAAAGTGACTTACAACTTTAAGCTTGGGTGGCAGTATCGCTGTTACGATCTGCAAATTATATTTTGTCTGAAAGAATTTATTGTAGTGTCTGGACCAAATGGCAACAACCGCGCAGAAGCCGTCGCCGAGACAAAACACAAGAAAGAAAGCGCTATAAAAACACCTCGCTCAATCGCACGCACGCCGCCGTTTTTACCTTTGTTTGATTTCATTTTATACATTTCTTAAAAGACCATGACATCGGTTTAATTACCCAAGTTTGAGGTAACGACCAATAAACGTTGTACACCTGTGTCGTGTCAAGCCAGTCAAGTCCGTATAGTACTGCCGACTCGACAAAAATTGACGGCAAGCAGTGAATGAAGATGAAGTAGCCGGTTAACGGCAAAGTGTCACAAAAAATGATCCTCATAATAACAATGAGCGCTGCTATCAATTAGCTCGCGCTGCTTGCTTAGGTTTTGCGTGTTGAACTTGATTTGGAGAAAGAGAGATATGCTACCGACTAATAAGTGTTCACATTTTGTTTTTGTTCTTTACACAGTTTCTACAATGCCACCGAATACCTTATCTTCATTCCCGATCAGTGATCATTCCCGGACTGGAACGGGCAGATCAGCTAGTAACTTATAATAACGGGCTAAGGGTGTTTACGTTTGTGTGTGTGTGTGTGTGTGTGTGTGTGTGTGTGTGTGTGTGTGTGTGTGTGTGTGTGTGTGTGTGTGTGTGTGTGTGTGTGTGTGTGTGTGTGTGTGTGTGTGTGTGTGTGTGTCTGTCCGTTACGAAATTCGTAGAGCGTGTTCCAGCCAACGTCCTAAGTCCAAATTTTGCATAGCGCACGCTACCTGCATGAAAGCCCACCATGCACAAGTTTGAGCGGATCCGTTGAGTGGACCCGTTGAAAATTGTGCGTCAAACGGATCCACTTGGCTTCTGACCGGCAAAATTGGGCCAGTACCAACACTTTTTGCGAAATCATGGATATGTTCGACAAGCTAATGTGCAAGCCATGGACATTGACCCAAACAATTGAACTAAAGTTGATTAATTTACGAAAACGGCGCCAAAAAGGATAAGTTGCATAAACGCTCAATTTGCCAAGATTTTACCTGATCGTTTGAGAAGATTTTTGCACAGGGATGTAGCTCACGGTTATTATGATCGTTATGGTGACTATTAGACCATAAAAAGTTTAAAGACCGATCCAAATTCGCATTAATTCTTTTCATCCACGCGAAAATACCGACCTCACACAAAAAAGCTCTAGGAATGAGTAGTTGTTTACAAATCATTCGTGATAGCCTGCATGGCTCAGTGAGTTTCAATGTCATATTATGCGAGAATGAGTTAGGAGGTGACGCATCGGTAGGTCAATAAAGTGGAAAAGAGGGTTAAGGACCAAAGTATTTCAACATTTTTTACGAAGCTTCAAATGCTTGCTGACCTTTACAATAACAATATCTGTGTTTCAGTTTCCAGCCCTTTGTTTTACCAGCACTGCTCGTGGCGTGTGGAATCCTCGTCATCATCATTTTATTATGTTTGCGCAAAATCAAGAAAGAAAAACGAAATGAAGAAACAATGAAGAGAAGACGAGCGCGTGGTAAATTATGCGATTCAAGTACATGGCCCAAATTATTTTCACTATTGATTGCAGAAAGAGAACGGATGAGGGAAAAACTCAAAAAAATGAAGGAACAAGAAGGAATACTCCCTGTGCCACCAACGGTTGATTATTTTTGATGATGCTTAGTGATTTACTAATGATATTTTCTATTTAGCTCCCATCTTCACTCCCCAAACAAGATCAGAAAGTTCAAAGCAAAGAACTAAAGGTTATTTGAGCAAATTATTCATGCATGCAAAATGCCTAAATCGAAGCCGTAGTTCGGAGACTGTTACGCTTTACTGCAGAGATTAAAGGACCCTCTATCCCAGACAAGCACCAAACTCAATCCACTTCATTCACTTCGCTATTGGTCAGTTACTAACTCGACCAATAGCAAGGTGAATAAAGTGGGTCAGGCAAATCAAATGGGTTAAGTATGGCATGTACTAAACCAAGTGGTGGTTTCGACAGCCGCCCAAGTTGCGATGCGAAAGCTTACTTGAAGCGAGCATTCTGCTGTGGAATATCGAAAGAATGTCGAGAGAGCGCTACGCCCCTCAAAGGCAGTGGCCCGGGAAATTGCGAAAGCGAGCATCTACATGGTCTTCTGGATCCGCTGAGTCCAGAGCTGTGCTTAAAAAGTCAAAAAAGTCGCCTTTTTTGGCGTTTTTAGGTTTTGAAGATGGCTGATTTGACCAGGAGAGCGGCTCTCGCCGAAAACCATGATTGGCTGCAGGAGACGTAACTCCACCCATTTTGGCGGCAAATGGCTGATCAGCTCAGGCAGCCAATCGCGACTCAGTTGGCGATCGCTCGCCCATCCCATCCAGCAATCTTCAAAACCATGAAAACCACTTTGCCTTTTCAAGCACTGCCCGGACTTTGTGCATTCAGAATCCCAACCGAGGTAGAATGCTCGCGAGTGCATTCCCGAGCCACTGCCTTTGAAAGTCAATTTCCCCTACGAGGTTTTCTCTTGACGCGTTTTGACATGGCAAGCACGATAGGAACGCTTGCTGTGTATCGGCTGCGCCTGTTACGTCAGAACCTTCATTGAATCTTGTGACGACTCACAGCCAGCAAAGAAGATTTTGGGAGATACCTTTGTTTTGTATTATTCGAAATCAGGGCCTCAAAAAAGCTAATATGGACAAGACAATGAAAGTTGAAAAATTTGGAGTGATCGGTGTTTGAAAGTCTTTTGTGAGACACCTCTTTTCGCAACTCTGCTCAATCACTAGGTTCAATTGATTAAATTGAAAACCTCAGATTCTGCATCCATAAGCGCAAAATGAGGAATTTGGACAGGCTTTGCACACATAACTCTGGAGCGGGTGTATGCTAATTTTTACTGAATATCATGACTGCCTTCATCGACTTGTGATTTTTTGCGTCTTTTGCTCAGTAGTACTGTAACCGACCAAAAATGCAACCAAAGATCAAGGCTTCCGCACAAACTTTGCATAACTTTGAGACGGGGTAAATATCCTCATGCTATTTTTCCCAAAAAATTACTGATCGGAATTGTTGATTTATTGATTTTCCCGTTTTGCGGTTGATAGAAAAGGAAATTTAATAAAGTTGTGATGGTGCAGAGCTATGACAGCGAAAAGGCTGTCACAGTTGACGCATGCGATAGAAAATTTTATACTGACTCTCATTCTCATTATATCAGACACTTAGAATCTCGAAGATACTTGTTTAGGTAGAAGTTGAGGGAAAACCACCTGGTCAAGCAACGGAGGTTGCTCAGCCAAAGCAGCCAATTCCACAGGTTAGTGGATTCAGGGATTGCCTTGAGCAGCCAACATCGCTATTCTTCTGCATCCGTATCTCTTGGCAAATGCCTCCCTGCCTTTGTCTTTCACTTCGCGCTTACGGATTAGTTGTAAGGCAGTAGTAGTCAACAATAAGTGCTTAAAATGACAGTTTGCGATTGATTACTTGAAATAGCTGAAGGAAATGGCAAAAGAATAGAAAAGACTGCTTTTTTGATCACTTTTACAATGATCAGCTTCAGGATCAAGGACGGCAGACCCAAGATGTCAACTATACTGTAGACATGTTTTTTGATATTGTCCCCAAAAGAAGACTTTGACAAATTCTAAATGGTAAGACTTCTTATCATTTGAGCAAACTTCAGAGCCAGAGATGTAATGGGATTGCCATGACTCATTTAATTTCTTGAAAATCACGTTGTCTAAACACCTCAACATTGCACTGCTAGCAGTTTATTTCCGCGTTAACACATTGACGACAGCATGACCTACATGATGGGTCATGCAATGTCTGCCACTGGGACAATGTGACCTACATGGTGGGTCATGGTTTGAATTTTGTTATGATCACCGATATCAGATTTGTTTCACAAGCTCTCTTACTCCTCTGGCTTACCGGTTACTTTCGCGTTTCTTGGCTGCTTTTTAGAGTTGCTGTAGGTATAATGTGCATGCTGGTCTGCGTAATTTTAGCGAGAATTATTTGACCTATTGGTGAAAGGCATTGTCCCAAAGTCCATATTTGAAAGCGATTGGACATTTCCTATATTAACTCTCACAATAATTTCAGATCGCTCTACTGCAAAAGCAAGAGATTTAGAAGCATGTTTCCGTTAATACAATTATCTGCAGAAGTTTACAACGATTAAGAATGTAATAAATAAACATGCTTGCACTTTTTTACGTGCAAAGATACAAATTGACATATTGTTGTTTGATATCGTCTTTAAAAATCATTGTCGACGGGTGTTCTTACTATTTGATTGTAAAAAACAGTGAAAGAGAATAGAAGCTGATTCTGAGAAAATTACGTCCCTCGAGGATACTCACAAGGGAAGGATACTCGATCGCACTGACGGCTGAGTAAGCGGTGTATACCGCGTATACCGTCCCCAGACGGAGATCTTTAGAGGACCGGTAACGGCAGAGTGGGCGATCCAATCCGCGCGGCGGCGGCAGCGCGGTTCGCGTTGGGACCCAAGCGGATTACGGTAGACCCCGCTCCAAGTGTCCGCCAAAGCACTGAATTCCTTTATTTCACTTTCTATTTCGCTCTGCTTTCTCCTATACTCTGAATATGACCGCTATTGGACTGGATTGCACTCTGCCATCGGCTAGTTACCCAGCGACGCTCCCGAGCCGCCGTCCTTCTCTGCTGCCATCAATACGCGTTGCCACTGTAAATAGTGCAGCAAATAATACCAGTTCGTCTTTCCTTGCAACACACTTCCAATTCTTTGCTTTCTTGTTATACACGCGATTGTATTCATATGTATATATCGTTACACGCAGGATATTTGAGTTTTGTGAAAACAGATTCTGTGTATCGCTAGCACTTGTCGCTCTTTCGCTATCGCTCGTTTTGCATCGCTCTTTTTCATGCCTTATTAGTGAACAATGAACAATCTTTCTAATTCATATCATTGAATCTTACTACAGTCTGCAAGACTATGCACCTGGATGCGTTAAATTGGTGAATTTTACCAGATCCAGTTTCATATTCCATTTTGAAACCAAATATTATCAGTATAAGCTCCTGCAAGACGAAGGCGGTTGGTTCGAGGTACGACGTGGCTGTGACGCGGCTGCGACGCTGCTGTGACGCAGAGATGTCACAGCCGCGTTGCACATCGTACCGACCGCCTTCGTCTTGAGGAGCTTATACGCACTTTTTCCGCTGCGTCTTGTATTTTCAGAAATCCATGAGAATAGCTGAGGTGTTTTTTTTTTGAAAAAAAAAAGAATGGCATTTAGCTGCATCATCTGGTTACTGAAATAGTAAATCTGACCGCAGCCAAATTCTTAACCCTACTGCTTGTGGAACAAGAACATTGGTTGCAGTTTGTGCTTTAGTGATCAATATTAGTTTGTTGTATTCCAGTGAAGCATTTATCGCTCTTGGATTACTTCCATAACGTATTCGCTCGAGAATCTAGTAATTTCATTCGTTTATTGATACTGTACAGGTTAGGATGGATCGTACGCTTACGGCGCAACTATTGGCAACGACAGCTTTCGTGCAGCATCTCCTCAGGTAATTCTTTTACGTGATAAGGCATGTTAAGCAGTTACAGTTAAGTGGACTTGACGGTTGTTGTAGTGCCGCTGCAGTGCCAACAACATTTGCGCGAGAAAATGACCACGGAGTGCTCTTTCTCATGTTTTATGCCTATATGGTTACGCGCAAGTGATGTTGGCAAACAGTCGTCGTTTTCTGAATTTTACATTTCTTTTGGAGCAGTTCTTGCTAATTCTATCAACCTATAAGTGCTTTTTCAAAACGGTAAAGGAAAAGAAAAGTTCATTTCACATCATTTCAGGTGCAGAACATTATCCGCACCACCTCAACATCTGAAGAACGCGCACATCCAAGCCTGTTCAACCTGCACAAGCTCCCCATGAATTGCGGAACATAACTTGAAAGTCCGGACTTCTTCAAGACAGGAAACAGGAACAAATGAGTTCTTATTCTTTTTGAATTTTGCCTTTTCCTCTTTGAAATTAGGGAATAGATTTTTGTCTCCCAGCTTCATTTTTCCATATCAGCTAGCTTGATGTTTGGGTACTTATTTTCTTCGCTAATTCTCTTTCACTCTGAGTATGCGTTGGCTCCTCTCACATTCAATGCTCTCTAGAATCTTTCACGTCGTTTCGCCATTTCACAAAATCGCTTTTGTAGATATTTTCAAACTAAAGAGTCTCCGCTGGTGTTGAAACACATCGTAAAGAAGTGTAGCCTCTCACATCTCATTATGCAACTACTGATTTGCTCTATTTCCAAATTTGCTTTCATGATATTCAGTTTGTTCGGGTTCAGCTGTAAGATCTAGCTTTGTTCTGTTGTAAGGTTGCCTACATCCTAACTCTCCTCTTCTTTTGCTTTGTGATTCTTGATTCTAGGGCAAACGTGAGTTCGCATATAATGTCATTCTGTTGCCTTGTTTAAGCAAAAATAAAGGCACCCATTCTTTGCGCAGGCGGTCCTTTGTATAAACTGTAAACTTGAACGATAAAACACTAGCGAAACAAATTTTTAGAATTCTATAGCAAACATAAAGCTCCTAGAAAAATTTGTTGTCAACGGATGGTGTACGCAAAACAGGAATTAGATTGACTGATTTTAGAAGGCACAAGCTGTTTGTACTTTTGAAAAATCTTCCATGCCCTAAACAGAAACTTCACAATCTGTCGTAGATGATATTCGGTTGATTATTGAATGAATTTCAAACTATCAGTGAACTTGGATCACTTCTGATCATTGATACCATGGGTTGGGTGGACGGTAAGGCTTCTTTGTTATTCGACCATTTTTTACTACCAAGAAAAAAGCGAAAAAACTGTCATAGGCCCCGGGCAGACTTCACGCGATTTGATTGTCGCGATTGAATCGCGACGAGACAGCTGTTACAACATCATTCCATGCCGATCAACTTGCATTCGGTTGTGATACTTTTCCAGCCCGAAATTTTTGAATGTGAAATGAAAATGAATGGAAATCTTGGCGATTAGATCGCGACGATTAAGTCGCGTGAAGTCTGTCCGGGGCCATAGACACCCGTCTTGAAGAGTAGAGACGCTCACTGATTGAGACATATGAACTTTACATAAACATTTCAACAACTTATACATGAGCGAGTACCTGAGTTGAGCATATCGACAATGTGAAGATGAAAAGGGTGATATCATTACAAGGACTAAGAAGACAATGCTAAGTTTCTCAATGTATGTGCAAGAAAAGCAACAAGTTCGAGTTCGCGAACCTATACCTATGGTAATCTATAGGCCTATTTTTCGAATACCTATAGCAGTAATGAAAAAAAGAGCGAGTGCTTTACAAGGCAACTTGACCCTGTTGCATGTGCACTTCTAAGAGCTTCCGTGCAATTGCTCCATTATATTCTTCCATATCTCTGCGCATCACCCATACATGATGTACTCGTACAGCAGTATTCTAGAAGAAAATGAAAAATTTACTTGAATCGATAAGAACAATTCCAAAAAAATTATATCAGAAAAGGCAATAACCGCATAGCATTGAGGGTGGGTGTCAGCCGACAGAATTTTTTTGTCCAAAAAACCAACATATTCCTCAAAGCATGTAATCTCGACAATGTAGTTGTTGTAAAAATTTGACCAAACCTCCTTTTTGCCTATATCGATTATACGTGAGTCGGTCGTGCTAAATTTCATCTTCTGACATTCCTTTACTACTGTCGATAGCGCGACAAACGCCTAAAGGAGCATTTAATGAGAACTTCTTGTCAGATAAAATACCTATGCTAGTTCTACATTTCAGTCTCATAGAGTGCATAAACACTATCATTAGGTAAGCAATGTATACTGACCCTCTTATGGCACCAATCTTGCAGCACATCCAAATCTCCTCGTATAAATGCTTCAAGAACGTTTGGTATAACTTCTTTCTCACAAAATTGCAGCCATTCTCCTTTGTGAAATGATGCGTCAATCTTAGCTATCTCGGTCAGTACTCCAGAAACTTCGTTGTGCCTTCCTAAAACGATAGCAAAGCTATAATAATCAACTAAACTGCAACAAAACTTTCACTTACCAAATAAGCTGCCAATTCGCTCTTTGATGCCCCGCATTGATCGAACAGCAACGTTGTCACTTTTTTCGTATCTGATCTTCCAATCAAAAAGTTCTAAAAGCAAAAATGTATAAATGACAATGAATTATCGAGGTGCTTTTGCTTCAAGAAAACCAAAAACAGAACAAACGTAAAACACACTACTGAAATAGCATACTCTTCTGAGAACTTCTTTCACCCACCAACCATCGCAATTCTTTATGGAGACTTACACCGGTTGTTCCTCTGCAACGATCCTTAGCGAGAAAAGTCAGACTCATATTAGATTGCAAAATGTTAATCAGTAAATCAAGCTAATGAATCTGGAAACAAGTAGAAACTCAAATAGCTATGAAAAAAATGGGAACGTCTCAACGAGAAACACTGGAAATAGTACAGAAATTGAAGGATCTAACTCATTTGCTTCAACAGTCCGGTTTTTGACGTATCCTCAAATCCTTCCGTTCTTTTTTTCAAAACCTCTAGAATACAAGTCAGTAGTTACAAAGTAGAAAAGCAGAGTGGGCAATCCAATCCAATAGCGGTCATATTCGGAGTATAGGAGAAAGCAAAGCGAAATAGAAAGTGAGATAAAGGAATTCAGTGCTTTGGCAGACACTTGGAGCGGGGTCTACCGTAATCCGCGTGGGTCCCAACGCGAACAGCGCTGCCGCCGCCGCGCGGATTGGATCGCCCACTCTGCCGTTACCGGTCCTCAGATCTTTAACCCATTGCCGACGACGCCTAATTTTGCGCGGCGGCGCTGTGGGACGATGCGATTTTGCACAACACTTTCAGTGTGGGAAGGTTTCGTGCTTATTTACGAAATGCAACATTGTTTTGTAAACAACTATTTTTCTAGAACGACAGAGGCTATAGGTCCTAAGAATACAAAAAATTGGAAAAAATATTCATTTGTGGAAAAAATACTAGACCTGCAAATAATACGACTTTGCGAGAGGTGTGGGCCACCGGGGGTCCACATCGTCCGTGGCAGCAAAAAGCGCGTAGGCCATTGGTGGTCCACATCGTCGTCAATGGGTTAAACCGCACTCCGTAACTGTTATGACGTCATTTTGGAAGAGCTATAAAGGATTTTTGTTTCTGCAGGCGCATTCAAGTACTAGACTTGCCTCATCACTGACGTGACATGGTCGACTGGTGCAGTGGATAGTGGCTTGGACAGCTGAGCTAAATTTCGTGGTTTTCGATTCCCCTCGCCCTCAAATCCGCATGTTTTGCGTTTTTGCTCTTCCAGAATGACGTCATAGCAGATAGGAGTGCGGTTTGGAGATCAGCTTCTGAGGACGGTTTACGCGGTATACATCGCTTACCCAATTGTCACTGCGATCGAGTATCCTTCCCTTGTCAGATGCATTTCAGCGATTTCCCCCAGCTAAACTCAGTGGATCTTTAAAATCCAATCTAAAGGGCCGGCATACTTCACGCGATTTCATTCGCGATGCGCTTGGCAATATTCCAACTGTCCATAACTCACTGCAAGCACATTCCAAATGTACGGAAGTTAGGGCATTTTATCAATCCATGTAAGTTATACACACTATACATGTGCAGCAGTGGCGTACCCAGGATTTCGGCTCGGGGGGGGGCGCGACAAAAATTTTTTTTCCAAAGAAGGTGCGTGGCGTTAGCCACGCACTCCGAAAAAATTTTGGGGGTGCTCCTCAAAATTTTTGCGGGTCCCCGACCCATAAAATCTGAAAAAAGGGGGCGTGGCGTCAGCCACGCCCCCGAAAAAAATTTTTTTACAAGGCTAATTTGAATTTTTAAAATTTTTTAAAAATTATTTTAATTATTTACGAAAATAAACAAGTCACTTGCACATTTTTATAACCCATATAAGTAACTTTCAAAAATTTCGCGACCCATTCTCGGGGGGGGGGCGCGCGCCCCCCCCCCGCCCCCCCCCCTCGGTACGCCACTGATGTGCAGTTTGCTAGTGTTGGGTCTGGAGACTTTTGGCAAATTGCCAAATCGCGTCGCGACTGAAATCGCATGAAGTATGCCCGACCCTTAATGCTCTGCTATGTCTATGAGTAAATGAAGAATGGATGACTTTAAATCAATCGACACTGAAAATATAAATATCAGTGTATGTTATGTAGTCAGAAGTCAATATACAATGGCTGTTTGGCAAAATCTGTAGCAGAGAAAAGCACTATTCTCTATTAAATTTACGGCAAGGTCCAATACTCTTGACCAATTTGACATAGCGCTGTTTTTGTTGCTGTAAACGTCCTTGTTGATGCTGCGCAAGCTCGCATGAGTATTATCAATCACTTCCAAGAAAGCAGTGCTCCGCACTGCTTTCTTGGAAGTGATTGATAATACTGCTCCGCACTGCTTTCTTGGAAGTGAATGATGATACTGCTCCGCACTGCTTTCTTGGAAGTGAATGGTGCAAAACTACTATAACTGACGACAAATTCATATGACTACCAAAAAATCTTATCACTACATTTAGGTTCTAAAAACTATTTATTGCCCACTCTCTTTCCACATGGCAGCTATCTTGTGCCGCAGTCTCTTGAAGGCAGTGTCCCACCAAACTGGGGGGTACCTGGCTCTTGTAGTAATGTAATAGTAGACCCCCTAACTAAGCGACGGTAAAAGTTTGCAGCGCGAAAGCGGGTTTACGAAGTCTAAAAATCGCCCCCAAGTGGCCCGAGTCTTACGATAGGCTCGTACGAGTACGAGATGCATGCAAGGCAGAGACGGCGGAACCCTGCGCTCATGACTGTGTGTGCTATGTGCGCTCTATCCTTGTAGTTCGAAATCATTGTGTGGGCAGCGTCCGGGCCTACCGTATGATCCGGGCCACTTTCGGAGCAAAATTCAGGCTTGATAGACCCCTTTTTGGCTTCGAACTTTAGTCATCGCTTCGGTAGGGGTCTGCTTAAACATCGCCACAAAAACTCAGCGCTCATCTTTTTGCCAGGACGCTGCCTTTAAGTGTGAGCTGACAAAGACATATCCTTTACACGTTTGATTTTGATTTTAATCCATCTCAGACAAAAGAGAGATCCTTGGTCGAAGTGGCTTTTCGAGTGGTATGCATACAGTTCTGAGGGAGACTTACTTACTTAGATACTTAGATACTTAGATGGCCCGACTTCACGTGACGTGCGGGCCCCAGCTCAGAAGTTTCCATTTTTCCCTGTCCCTCGCTTCTGACATCCACGATCTTCTTGGCTGACGTCGGTGGCTGCGTCCACGAGTTCCAGGTGCAAAAATCGTATCCAGCTGATTTCTCAGCTGGTCTATCCATTCCACGAACACGTCTTCCCATCTCGTTGGAGGTCTTCCTCGGGGACGTTTGGCTTCGCGAGGAATCCACTCCGATGTTCTTAGTGTCCGTCTGTCGTCTGTTCTTCTCATTATGTGACCGGCCCATCGGTGTTTGGCTTTCGCGACGTATTCCGCTGGGTCACGAAGACGGGATATTCTTCTCATATCCGTGCTGCGAAGTCCGACTAGATGTTGCTTGCGTTGGGTCATCTTCAGAAGACTGCGCTCGAGCGCTCTGTGGGTGGTCTGTAAAGCTTTCGACGTGGCTACAGTGTCGGCCCAAGTCTCAGCTGCGTAACAGAGCGCCGGGAGAACGGTTGAGTCGAACAGGTGGGCACGAAGCTCCGGGTCCGTCAGTTGGTCGGTGGCTTCCTTCAGGGGCCCGAAGGCGGCCCAGGCTGCTCTTCTTCTCCTGTTGAGTTCTTCCCTCAAGTCGTTCTCCATGTTCATCGAACGTCCGAGATACACGTAGGAAGACGTCTCCATAATCGGGGTGCCTTTCAATTCCATTTCTGCATCTTCGCAAAGGGCGTTCTTCATGAACTGAGTCTTCTTCCGATTTATTCGCAGTCCGATCTTCTTCCCTACTTCGTTTAGTTCCTTCAGCATCGTCTCTGCTTCGGTGATACTGCTCGAGAAGAGAACGATGTCGTCCGCAAAACGAAGGTTGGACAGGAATCTCCCATCAACTCGTATGCCTCTCTCGTCCCAGTCCAGTGACTTCATCACCCACTGCAAGGCCGCGGTGAACAGCTTCGGCGAGATTGTGTCGCCTTGTCGGACCCCCTTCCCGATTGGTATGGTCAGGGGACGATGGAATAGCTGCATCGTCGTTGTACAGTCCCTGTAGCAGTCGGCTAACGTCCTCACGTAAGCTGGGTCCACTCCTTGATCGACTAGCGCAGACAGGATGGCGTTGGTTTCGACGCTGTCGAAGGCTTTCTCGTAGTCGACAAAGGTTAGGGCGAGAGGCAGTCGGTACTCCCGGCAGACTTCTATGACCCTCGAAACGGTCTGGATGTGGTCCATGCAGCTAAATCCTTTGCGAAATCCAGCTTGTTCTTGGGGTTGGGCTTCATCCAGTGTCCTTGATATGCGAGCGAGGATAATCTTTGTGAAAAGCTTGTACAGCACACTCAGCAAGCATATTGGACGATAGTTCCGAAGATCCTCCCGTTCACCCTTCTTGAAGAGAAGGACGGTTCTTGACGTTCTCCACTGGTCGGGAATCTTCTCCTTCTGAAGGTAAGATGTCAAATGCGACGCTAGAATCTCGTGTAGACGGTGTCCTCCGGCTCGCAGAAGTTCGACGGAAAGATGATCTGGTCCTGGAGCCGTGGACGTCTTCATGGTCTGTATCGCGATACGCACTTCAGCAAGTAGAATTCGTGGTGGTACTTCTCCAGTGGGAACAACGGGCATCTGCACGGGTGTTGATGAGCGGAAGAGGTTGGTGTAGAAGTTCTTCGCGATAGATTCCATCTTGTATCGGGAAGAAGTCGGAGTCCCGTCTTCGTTCAGTAGTGCAGCCAGCGGTACGTGATATTCGCAGAGGTCCCTTCGGCACTTCTTGAGACTTCGTCTTCTTTCTGCTGCTTCCAGTATCTTGGCTTGCCTGTACTTCCTGAGATCCTCTTGCAAAGCTGTTCTGCAACTGGTGTTGGCAATCAGTCGCTCGAGATGAGTTGCATTCGGATCCTGCCTCAATAATCTTCTTCTTTCGAGCAATTCCTTGGTGGTCTTCGAGATGCGGTCCAAGTTCTTCTCAGAAGTCACTGAGGCGCATTCTCCGCAGGCTCGCAATCCTTTCAGAAGCCGGTCGTAGTCGTACGTTGGGTCCTCCTCGATGGGCCAGTCACAACTTGATATGAGCTCTTCCAGCCTGTTACCGTCATAAACGACTTCCTTCCTTCTCGCGGCGCTATGACAGACTTTCTTTTCCAGCCTTCGGCTGAGTCGTATCTTCGCTCGA